GTTATACTGAGAAACATCATTGTTGTTTTAAAATCTCAGAATGGCTCTAAAATTTACCAGATTTCTCTGGAATTAAACTCCTCTAAAATTCATCAAAACATCTTTGACGTGTTCCCTGAGTCTAATTCTGTAAAGTGACAAAAAACTGAAAATCCAATCCAGTCCAAGGGCCTTGAAAGCATTCCAAGCAAGGGCCAGAATCTTACTTTAATTTTCCGAAGAGAGGACGAAGCTCTTCCCGATGATATTCCCAGTCTTCCGGTTCACTGGACACCATGTGTGTCAATCGGTTAAGGTCGATCGTGTTAAGGTTTTAAAATAAACCCCTTATTATGCCACCTTATTCAAATTGATTGTGTAACCTTCCAAGAGGCGCGTCTGAATCACACAGTGGAATTCTTAGTGCCTATTAATACAACCTTTCTCGATGAAGGGGAAAAGGGAATAAAATGCCCAGAGCGGACAAAATGCGACACCTTAATATTTCAGCTACTAAGGGTCAATTGTTTTTATCTGGGTTAAAAAATTGAATTCTCTGAGTTTCCCTGTTTTTCCAGATAGTCGACACTCTGGGTAGTGATTCCGAAGTGTTATGAAGCGATTCAGTCGTTTTCAAAGTGATTCCAAGCTTTCCTGAAGTGATTCAGTATTGTCCTAAGTGACTCATATTCTAACTTTTCTTGGATAAAGGGCGGGCTCTTCCCCACACTCATGGGGCATCTTTCAGGACAAGGGCTTGTTCCATGGCGAATCATATGATCTTGTTTGCTGAAAGGAGATTCTTCTTCTGTTCCCGGTGAGTTTCGCGTGGGCGTTTCTGCTTACGGGTCCACCCCTCCGGTTTTGGCCCTTCATACAAGGCCAAGCTGAATATGATTTGTCAGTGGAAAAACATTCGAAGTCGCAACCTTGAAACTAGAGAGGGTCTAGTATAAGAGAGGAGCGGATTCAGAACAAACTACCTTGGCAACCTATGCCTGGGAGGTTTCTAGCAACACTGCCAATACAATCAAGATAGGCACTGCTCGATTGGCTCTGGCTTTGACAGTTTGTTTGGCTCAAAACCAACCAGTCCACTCCTCTCTTATACTAGACCCTCTGTACTTGAAACGATACCGAATAATTAAGCTCTATTTGATTCTACTCGAGCAGTTTGGCACCTCTTCCGGTTGGCAGATCAGCATCCTTTGAACGTCCTTTATCGTATGTTGGTGTGGACTATTTTGGCCCGGTGCTTGTGAAGATTGGGCGCGCTCACGCAAAGCGCTGGGTGTCATTGTTAACATGTCTGACGACTTGCGCAGTTCACCTCGAAGTTGCGCATAGCCTGACTACGGAAAGCTGCATAACGTACTTTACCGATTCGTTGGGCGGTGTGGAGCCCCTTTGGAAGTATACAGCGACAACGGCACCAATGTTGTCGTACAGTCTGGCAACGATGGTTAGCATCGTAGTACCAACATTGCAGGATTAATTTGGCACTCCGTTGGGCACGTTAGGACACATGTTGACAAATAGGACAAAAAAATATTATATAAAACGGCATCACTGCCAAGTGTTGACGTTTTGCTAATCGTTGCAAAGGTCGACTTCTTTGTTTACTCCATTGGGCTTCGAAGATCGTTCCTTGCCACTTTTCGAAAAATTCCAAGGAAACATTCTGTAAGTATTGTCTGCATCATGAATTTCTTCAAAATCAACAAAAGTATGTTTATCTCATCCGATTCGTAGCGAAAATCCCAGCGGCTCGTGGTTTCGTCCAGAATAGCTTTCATTCGGGCCTCACGCCAACAGAGTTCTTCCACACCATGGTCAGTCGAGAGGGTCGATACGGCAGTCAAGACGACCGAGATGCGTTACCTCTAGCGACGGTTGGTCAAATGCTTGTAAGATCGTCCAATTCGACCGTACGGTACGGAATGCGATCGGGGAACAGTATGGATAAAAATCCTCTGAACGACGACAAAATTGTGCTGGATGTGGAGGGTTTTTTGCTTCTTTTACAAGTTTGATATGCAGAATGAACAATATAGAAAAGTATGACAGATATGGAGTTGGAGGATATTTGAGGGTTTCCACTATAGAACTACAGTCAGGAATCCTTGTTGCCGGGGTAACGGGGATGTGAATAAGGAACAGCGAATAAGGATACCCACAGCGTATGGGATTTTCACTAATAGGGGCTGGGGATTATCTAATTTGTTTCAATATATAGAGCTATACTGTCTTGGACAAAGTTGATGTGCTGGGATAGACCAACAAGCCTGTGTCATTGGATTCAGATTCAATTGGGAACTACGCCGCTAGAGGCGCTTCACTTTTATGTTACTTATGACGGGCGCTATAATATATGGATCATAGGTTCAACATAGAAGATTTCGTGATCCTGGCCATTTAGAAAGTTACAGACTTGAGCAAAGTTGTTCAAGTGACCAAGTCCTTTCGGATGGTAGCCATATAAGTTCAGAACTCTCTCACTACGCAGCTCTAGTTTACACATGAGCTTCGTATATAAGCTGTACCTCAAAATACTGGTCTTATAGAAGGTTACTGTCTTGAGCATAGTTGTTCAGGTGATCATGTCCTTTTGTATGGTGTTCATATTAGTTCAGAACTTTATCACTACGTAGCACGTGAACTTCCTATATAAACTGTATCTCGAGAACCTGGCCATATAGAACGTTGCTGTCTTCAGCAAAGTTGTGCAGGTGACCAAGTCCTTTCGGATGGTGGTTATATTATTTAAGAACTCTCTCACTACGCGGCGCTAGTGTGCACATGAACTTCCTTAATATGTTATGTGTAGAAGCTTGTCCATATCAGATGTAGCTGTGCAATGTGGGGACAGGAACCGAAAAAAGGATGATGTGTAGAGGTCAGAAATCGATTTCGGACGCCATTTTAAAATCCAAGGTGGCGACCATCGGTTCAAGAAAAACTGTCAAATACCCTATGTGTAGAGGCTGGATATCGATTCTAGACGCCATTTTAAAATTGAAGGTGGCGGCCTTTGATTTACCGTAAACTATTAATGGGGACGACGTGTATAGGCCCAAAATCGATGTCTGTCACCATTTTGGGATCCACACAACGCATAGCACAGCTTTAGGCTCTGCTTAATCTCTTGGCACAGATAAGAGTGTGCAGAGTTAAATACCCATTGGCTTCATTAGATTCTACCAGGGCAGTGTTGCCATCTAGCGGCAGAATTTATAGCCATTCATGGTCATCATGAATGGTCCCTTGACTCGTACTCAAAATTTGTAGAACATTTGAAGTTGCATTGAAATCATGCCGAGATATTGAGCAATTCAAGAGTGAAAGTTAAAAATGTCGTTATTTCCAATTTTGGTCGCAAAAAGAATGATCCTGCATTATTTGAGACGGAAAACGGGTTATTTTCCAGTCAAGGAGCGGTTTGAAAAATTCAAATACTTTCCTACAAAGCAATTAAAAATTTAATACTGTCAACACTTCCTAACTTTCTAGTTAGAAAGATCATCGAGTTAGGCAGGATATCGAGCAGTTACGAAGGTGATCGGTTCCAGGCCAAATAGGATCAAACAAATATAAAATTAAGACTCGACCTCCTCCGATTTGCATAATAATTATGTGTTATGGACAATCATTCAAATTTTTACAAAAATTCGATCATTTTGGATCCTGTAATTCTTTTCAACATGGCGTCTTTATTTTTTTATATTAAATTGTAGCACTAAAACATCACTTCTGATCGCAATGACGTCTGAGACAGAATTTAGAAAAGTAAAATAATTCTGGGAAAAACATAGACAGTATTTTTTAGTAATTTCGAGTAAAAATGTTTTAAAGACTGAAATACCTCAATAAGTGTATCAACGTTTCAACATTTAGAATATATTTAGTATATAAAGCTCATGAAAATTGCAAACTTTAAAAGTATAAACAATTTATTTTAAATGTTTCACTTCAAATATTATCAATTTCTTTTAGAAAGTATGTATATTTAATGTAAGATGGGGCAAAATTTATTTAAACGTTTTTCCCATTTGATTGAAGAACATAATTTTATAAGTTACCACATTTTTTTTTTTTTTCAATTTGTATGATATTTTTGTATATTTTTCTAAGGTACAGAGTAAAATACGAAACTGTGACGAACTTCGAATTTATGTGTCCATTTTCATTGCAGAAGTTTATAACCGATTTTGTTAGAAGTGAAAACAGATTTTTTTTTTTAAATTGCTTAGATGGGCTTGACGTTTTTATTTATTTCCTGAATTTCGTGAAGTAATTGTATTTTGTTGGATTGCGGACGGAGTCGAAGAGTTGCAGTCGATTAATTTCAAATCAGAGGAGTCGGAATGCCCTGTGGATACAGCATGATTCAGAACATCGTTTGGCCAATACTGACCCCTGAAGGGCTTTGTTTACAGGTATTGCCAAAGCCGTCATGTACCCTAACGCGTTTAAGCGTAAATGTATTCTTTTTTGAAATGAATTCAGTATGCGCATTTTACCGGGCGGCTTTTGGTTTCCGATTATCTTTTCGATTTTACTGACAATTATTTAATACCTTACTTAATTGATTTAAAGTATTGCAATTGATGTGATAAAAATTGATAAATAATTATCAGCAAGTTCAAAATGATAATCGTAATCCACCAAAACCTTGAAAGTCCACCTAAATATGTTTGGTTCAATTTCTGGATTAAATAACGATCTTCCTCAATGTGGGTGTTTTACCCCTCCCCCTCCTCCAACTTCCATACCTTTTGCTAATTAATTGCCGGCGTTGTTCTCAGCCGTACTACCTAAAAGAGTTTCTCTTCAATACCACTTATGGTATTCAGTCGAAAGCCTCACCACACGCTTTTCTATTCGGCCGTTGGTTCTTCCCATCAGCGAGAAAGCATATTTTTCTCAGGCTAAATCAACCCACCGTACTTTCACCGTTGTTGTCGTCGTCGTCGTCGTCGTCACCGTCCATGTAGGCACCACTCTGAGAATTATTTCGAGACCTTGCCGACGTGTAGAAAACTCCGCAATTGATTGATTGTAGGGGCAAGCTTCAGATGATAAGGACTAAGAAGAGCACTTTTATCTAAGTTTTTATTTTCAACTACAAGTAGCGCACCGTGCAACTACATACCGATACCACCCACGAAGAGCTTATCAATCGATCTGCTTCAATACGTCCACAAACTACACGTGACGGAATATGGTTTCCTCCTATGGCCCCGTACCGTTCGCGTTTGCTAGAAGTGCTGATGTTACACTACTTCCTTCCTGCCTTCCGATATTTCCCACGCGAAAAAAAAAAACATCCACCACTGGTTGCTCCCGCACACGGTATCGAATCGATTAACGATTACGCAAAACTCCGATGGTCCGAATAGAACCTTGTCCACCACGTCCACACGATCTATCGCGAGCACCAATGCACTATCAAGTGCACTTTTCCGATTTAGAATCTTCGAAACACAACAGTGATTCTTCTTTTGCCAGATGCAGTTTGCAGCCAGGAAAGCCGTAATCGAAATCGCTTATTTTTCTCACACTGCCAACCCGAACGCGAGGCTCGCATCTGACATCTCCGCACGTGTTTGTTTGTGTTTGTGTCATCGACCGCACTCAATTGGCGTTGACGGCACCGTCGAAAAATCGTCTCTTCTAGAACATATTGACAGTTTCTTATGGGATTTCTCGGTGGAGTGAAAGGATAGTACGAAGTCCGCCTGTTTCACGCACAGTCTGGCGTTTGCTTATGGATTTTACCATAGGAGTAAAGAGCTACAGAGTCGCCGTCAACGCCAATGAGTGTAAACTCACATGGCCCACAGAATTTGTCGTCTCTTTTTTTCCTGCACAGTTCAAACGGATGACGGAGTTTGACGACACATCCCGTCAACCATTCAAACAACGGTAGAAACGAAAGAGATGAGGAATTTGCATTGTCATACCTGTTTGCACATATTGGACAATACGCAGCGGGGCCTGCGCAAGCGTTTGTGCCAACGATCCGTTCAAAAATTTCAACTTCCACAACGAACGGTTCGTTTTCCACCCCCCTCAGTGACGGTTCAGTGACGAATAAATAAAAACTGATCAAATTCAAATTTCAACGACTTTGTTTCAAAAGCTTGAATCTGTCGGCAATTTATTATTCCATCCAATCACAGGAAACACATTTTTTTCACAGCACATCCCCAATAATGTGGTTCAGGTACGCAATCAGCGTACGGCTTCCAAACTGTCAGGAATCCACCCCGGGAGGACCACAACTGACCATGCTGTTCTTCACCTCCTCCAGACCGATGCCCTTGCACTCGCAGAGCTTCTGCAAGAACTCTTGATACTCCTCAAAGTCCAGGGATGATTTGCTGCGAATAAAGGAACAAACACCCGCCCGACATCAACAACAGGTGGCACCGATATAGATTAACAACAAACGCGCACCCCGAACCTACCTGAAGGTGAAAAACGTTACGCCCGTTTCGGTGAGGGTGAAAAAGCGCTTCTCCCCTATCAACCGGGCTTGTTGCATCCAGGCATCGCTTTGGGACAGCAGAATGCGCTTGCCGTCACCCTGGAATGTGTTGGACGTGGGCCGGAACTTGGCGTACGAGGTGAACATCGTTTCCAGTGTGGCCGGAGGTTTTTTGATGGACATTTTAAGTTTCGGACTTTAAATACTGCTAATTTTGAACCAAGGTCAAGAACCGAATTCCTATACTCAATGAACCAGAAAGTTTGACTAATTGATAACAGTTTCGATCGTTGCCATGACGGGCCAAAACAATGATATATAAAAAAAGGGGGACAATCGCATCGGTCACCATACGAGCAGGGATAATAAATAAACAAACAAAGAAGAACAGCTACGTATATATATATTCTTACTGTTGCCAACGGTAAAAGAATGTGAAGGAAGGACTTATGTAGACTCATTGACTTGTAACGAAAAGTATTGTCTCCCTTAACTAACACGAAACGAAAATTAATTATTTTATAAGCCTTATAAGTCCTTATAAGACAAGCCACATAGGTCCTATTTGCATAAACGGTATGTGTGATCATTTATACATTTCATTGGACACATGATCTTCATTAACTTTTTGGCAAGGCGTCTGCTTATTAGTTGACTTATACCAAATATGTCATATTAACAATATGATCCATTCATGCCTTTTCCAAATGTTGCAATGGCGACCCACAAAATATTGCTTCACGCACCATCTTTATCTCCAGATTTTTGGCGAAAATTTGAGGATTTACAAACCAGGGTTTTGAAGACTTACTCAGCTATACTGAAGCATGTTCAAAGCGGTAATGATAATCGAACGTTTTTTATTAATTTAATTAAATTGAAAACTATTTATAGTTACTCTCAGAACACTTGGGATTATGCGTCTGAAAAATCCAAGTCGTGGAATGAAGCGGACAAGAAATGGCACTGATGACAACAATCCACTAAGTGGCATCGTTGAATGGATCCAGGTAACTATTCACATTTGTGTTTTCAAAAATGTTCTCATTATTACTGGATTTTGTTCCATTTCTATGGCTTTACTCAATTATGAAGTACCTACCTATTTTTATATTTTTCCAGCATGATGAACCGATCCCGATCGTCAAAAGCGACAACCCCATACTCTACATGAGAGGAAATTTTCCGGAGGACAACTCTGATGCAGTAATTTCATGGAAAGGCATCACCATCCCCATCAACAAAGATTTTTCATATAGTTTTGAGTTGCTCTGCCAATCCATTGTGATTTTGAAAGCTGGAATTAAGCCAACTGACAAGCAGTTTTTTGTCTTTTTAATGGCGACGATGATGGGAGTCAACACCCTCACCACTACGGGCGAAAAATTCCTTATTAAGGTTCAATTTACCTTGATGCATTTTTAAAAAAATCAAACGCAGTTTTTTTCGGCGCATTAGTTTAGATTGCAAAAAGCTCGCGTCATTTTGTGTAAAATGTCAAAAGGAATCGAATAGTGCGAGCTTTTTGCAATCTGAAATAATGCGCCGGAAAAAACTGCTTTTGAAATTTTCCAAAAACCATCAAAGTAAATTGAACCTTAACTTGGAATAGCTCAACAATTGAGCGCTGCTACTACATACCTACACATAAACATGTACACTGCTGCATAAATGCAGTAACAATAAAAACTAAAAAAAAGCCCGAAAATTTGTTGTTTTGTCTTCTCGAAATCGTATTTTAATTCACCGATAAATCAGCCGTTTTGAATAATTTACTGACTTTATCGTCAAAAAAACAAAAAAAAAAAACAATGCTGAAAAACTCAGCAATAATAAGGTAAACAAACAAATTACTGAAAAAGTCAGTAGTTCCTTACTGACTAAACCGGCACTTTTTGACAGTTCACGGTTTGTGCTATTTACGGAGTTTTCAGTAACGGCAAAACACTTGTGGCTTGATTACTGAAAACTCAGCTGTTTAAAAACCCAGTAAAATTTTACTGACGTCGGTAATATAAACTCTGTGTGTGTAGCGTTGAAAAAGGTCAGCAACAATCATTCAATTACAATCGAGGGGTGCGAATATAGCACTTATTACAAAAGTAAGAGTCAAATTATTTTCATTAATTACATTGTGTATATTACTTTAAAATTTGTCTGACATGTCACTGTTGTCATCAAATAAAATAAAATGCTGAAATACATTCATTTGAAATATCAAACAAATTTTCATTTGGTTTACCCCTCGTAACGATAAACAAATACAATGGTAGCCTTTTCGGCCACAGAGGTGCTTTCATCGCTGAAAATTCGGTTCACCAGCTAAGCGAAAGAGTGGATCATATTGTTAATATAATATATTTGCTTATACATTTGATGAATAATCAGCAACAGAAATTTGTCAAAATGTATAAGGGGATTTCTATCCGTGAAATCAGTAAAGACGGTATAGAGACAGGGCTATAAAGCAATCCCAATTAACATTGAAAGCAGAATAAGGGCTCATTCAAGCAAAAATATGCTTCTTCAGCTAAAAAAAATATTATTCAGCTCTTAATCAGTTAAAACTGTTTGTTGGGAGATCATGTTGGAGGTGGTGGGCATGATTTACGGTTTGATTGGGAACATTTTCAGGTTGTAAAACCGTTCATAGGGTATTGTTGTGCTTGTGACACAATAAATATCAGTTTGTAAGCTTTCTATGGTTTTTGGACAATTTATCCAGCTTTCCATGCTCGGTAATGGCGGCCTGTTTGTATGAATAAATGTATCCTTCACTGTGCTTTTTGACACTATCCTGATGTTCGAATTTCAACCCCTTCCCTTTCCCTCTCCCAGGAACTGTAGAAAATGGAACAACATACGACCTCCAGTTAGTGTCAAAAAGCACAGTGAAGGATACATTTATTCATACAAACAGGCCGCCATTACCGAGCATAGAAAGCTGGATAAATTTCGGACAGTTTGACTCGCGTTGGCTTAATTTAGATGTACGAAATAGGCGAGTCCAATAGATCCTAAGGGATCGTTTCAGTCTCTGGTGGTGAATAAGGGAACCAAACTCGGAACCAAATGAGTGATAAGGGCTGAAATTTTCGCCGAGAGCATACGAAGAGGAAAATGTTTTTACTTTTTCTGATTAATTTATCTATCGCAGGTGCTTGTAATCATCATCCACATGGAATATTTTGTTTTCGGTATCGATTTTGCAATAATCCGGCTGGTGCTTCCACATATTTTTGTTAAGAAAAGTGAAGATTTATAAAACTACCCCAGCTGTTATGATCTTCAGGATTTTTAATGTGGTTTTATTTCAACTGTAAATCCGTTCAAATATGTGAAAAATAATAAAATAAGACCCCTCCTGATGGAAATATGCAAGATACGCATAACGTCATGCGTTTATTTGAGATGTAAAAATTGTAATTTTGATGTAAACAAACAGTTTGGTTGACGTTTCCTTTCATAATCACCCAGCGCACTCTACATTGGTGGTGCATAGAAACAGCCTATTGGCAAATCAAAGTTGGCACTCGTGGAGAATAGAAGTACTATGAGAGTGATGATGATTTCAAAATTGTACACGTTGAGGTATACGAGTGCAATCTTAAAATGCTTTTATTTTGCAAATGGAGCATTTTAGTAGAAAACTTAAGGACTACTCAATAGAAATATAAAATAGAAAAAAATAAATTCTGTTGAGATTTTTGGGCATATACATAGATTTCAGCTTTTCTACCACTGTAGCAGCAGAATAAAATAAAATTCTACATTTGCAAAATAAAAGCATTTTAAGATTGCATTTGTAGACCTCCCCATCGAAAATTTTGAAACCATCATCACTTTCATAGTTCTTCTATTCTCCATGAGTGCCAAATTTGATTTGCCAATCGACTTTGTTCATTTGTCAATTCACCGAAAATTCCCATAAGAAACTGGAAGAGCAAATTTTTCGACGGTGCCGTCAATGCCAATTTTCTAGTAATTTTCAGCAATCAGACTTTCAGCAAAACGTCACTTTCATCGTTCAAGTCTTGCTTCTTGCCTTTGTTTACATCCTCTGAACACCGCTCACAAATTGGCGCCTTTTTTTTCCCAGAGAAAAAATTAGAACAATTTAAACTCGTTAATGTACGTTCAGACCTCGGTTCAGACTACAGAGTTATAACAACAATCAATACGAAACTAACGATTTTAAATTGGCTCACTACTTGACTAGCCTATTGGTCCCAAGCAAACGATTAACGTATCCCATTCTAGTCGAAATTCTAGTACTACGCAATGTTTGTTTTGATTCGCTATGAAAGTTTGACAGATAAAATGAGGGGTTATTGGTTTTTCCTATGTTTCGAGGGGTGAATCGATTAGCTTGGGACCGAAGAGAGTACCAGAGCTGAGCCAAAAAGTTGAGCACGTTATTTCGGGACCTTCTAGTCTTAGAGTTACCTCTATGGCAGAATACCTAACTTTAGATTGGCCCACCTTTAAAAAATGAGCACCAATCATGTTTGGCAGTCCGAATGACCAAAGTAACAATCATGTACCCATCATTTCAAACTGTACATTGCACAATTTTCGACCTATGATTATCTTATAGCGAATTCGTTTATTATCGGGATTGGAACCAGTTCCAACCCAGTGAGAAACCGAACTTTTTGTCAGTGCGAACCTCAACCTGAGCTAGGTTTTAAAAACAAACGAGCAAACTGACGTTTGTCAGAAAACAAGCAGACCCAATCTTGATACCCGATCCAGGTTGGAACTGAATAATAAACGAATTCGCTATTAGTAAAATTGGATGGGTGTTTTTGTATCACATACAATGATAAAAGAGCAATAGTTTGTATCGCTCAACTCGATTTGTTTACATTTGTCACTTTAGGACCTTTTGAAATGTGACGCGAGATTTTTGACACTATTAGGCATCCGATCTGTCATCGTGACATTTTCTGGACTGGCATCCCTGCCGAACTGTCATCGCGTTTGCTTTTGTGTTGCGATGCGAAGAAAAGCGGTGTTGGTGTGAGTGCGTTATTGCGTTTGGTTGGCTGTTGGTTTGGTTGGATGGATTGCGAACATTAACCTGCCCTCTGCCTGCCTGCCTGCCTTTACGGACCTTTTTTTTTTTGAGTGTGATCTCCTCTTTTGACTGGTCCTCTTGTGTGGTGTGGTGAAAGAAAGGAAGAATTTTTGGTACGAAATTTGCGGAAAAGTGACTCGAATTTGTCG